CCCCCCCCCCCGAAAAAAATACTTCAGTTTCGCCTCTGGTCTATAATGATTTATATATATAAAATTAATTTACTGTTAGATTTATTATATCAAAATAAAAAATCACTCTTTAAAAAGAGAAGGCGAAGAAATAAAATGAAAAGATCTATAAAAAATAATTACTTAGGTTTGAATCGTATTGATAATTCAATTTAAATCGGCCGTTACGGACTCGAATAATAATTATATAATTTAACGGGGTCGAATGTTTTAAAACGAATAAAAATCATATTTTAAAATCATTGTCCATCAAAAAGTAAACGTAAAAGGAAGAACAGGCCACTTCCGGTTTTCAGAGAGAAATTTTGAAGAAATTTCAAGAAATTTTTAATTATGTTTAATTTCTTTGTTTAAATCCCTGAAAGGAAGTTTTGACAATGAAAGCATGTAGTATGAATGCATTATTCTTGATATTTTAGTTCTTTATTGTATTAATATTCATCATCAATTAACTGCTGTTTTTATTCTAAACTTCAAATTTATTTTTGATGATTGATTGACTGATTTTTTTCTGAAGTCCCGAGGTACCAACAAAGAAGCGTGTTGAACGCTGGGCAATTAGTTTAGAGGATACCGTTTCAGATTACAAGAGTACAGTCTATACCTACAAGAGTACAGTCTATACCTACGAGGTATAGTACAAGAGTACAGTCCCTTTATTTATTTATCTATGTATTTATTTATTTATTTATCTATTTATATTTCTAAATGTAAAGGATTATGAGATGGATGCGTTAAATAATCTGAAGAAGATTTTAGCTGGAAAATGGGATTTTGTCACCATGCAGGCGGAGGAACAGGTCAGAGGCGGATGCATTAAAGGGACAGTTATCGATATTTAGAGTAGCATGTCCGATGCACAACGGTACCCTTCAAAACTTTGTCTGTTCAGGAAGGAATACGACATCTATGTTTTCCTATTTATTCATTATTTTCAATATATCTCTACATAAGGAGTTCTGGTGCTGAAACAATGAAAGAAACTTATCAGGATATTTAAGCTGGGAAAGGACAATATCCATACAATATTATTGATGAGATACAAGGGTATAGTTGTGAATCAGACATGCCCCTCTGGAGGGTTCCCTTGAAATATTACTTTAGTTCATTTTATTAATTAGAGCAAAATAGATTTCTTTTCCTTTAAATCCGTTTGTTAAATTAAAGAAACGGGAGTTGTTTCTATCAGGTCAGAAAATGAAATGAAATTTAATAATTATTTTTGTCCAAAATCCGTTTTTTCTACATTTATCAAAGCCGAGTTTCTATTTCAATTTTGGTTTCTAAGCTTTTACATTGTTAACAGCTTTTCTTTGTTAACTTGTAAACTTTATTGTTATTTGAAAAAGGCTTGTTAAGGATCAAAGCATTATTGTCGTCTTCATTGTATTAATATTCTAAATAAAATTTAAGAAAAATGCATTTACAAAACTTACATTACTGTTTAGTTTATAAAACTTTCGCCGCCCCCCCCCCCTCCCCTCTCTCAAGGGAGTTGTGCTTACAAAATAAGAAGTATACAGCGTACTTCACAAATATATATTACGATGCAAGAAATTTTTAATATAAAAAATTAATGTAAAAAATCATTTAGTTGGTTTCTTGTACTTGCACCAACTTATATTTTTCTCTATATCTTTATTAACCCTAGCTGTGTATTCCCACAATAAAATAAATTATTATTTTTAGTTAAAAGTAGCGAAAGATCGGAAGAAAGGCGACAAGATAATAAATGACAGGTATTGGTATGGGTAAGGTACAGGGTAAACCACAAAGGATGAGACTTCAAAGACGACTGTACAGAATTTATACATTCTGTTTCTTCATATGTATGATTCTCTGCAACTAAAAACCCGTTTCTTTGGTTGTCCAATAATAAAAAATGTCATACCAAATCTAGATTTAAGACAAATGACTTAAATCAACCTTGGAATCGTCATATTTCAAGGGTTTAAGGTCGTCTTCATAGTTGCATCCTTTGTGGGTAACCCTGTATATAAGTTCATTTTTTTGCCTATATCTTCTTTTAGGGTTCATATTTGGCATATACTGTAAGGAAATCAATTTTTTTCATTTTCTATCCTTACATAATGAAAATTTTGACCCTGACAGAAAATATAGGCAAAAAAGGAACAACAAACTATTCAAAAACGATCCAAAAAGATCCAAAAAACGAAAGTGTTATAACGATCGAATTTGGATCGTTTTTCCAATATTTTTTAGGATAAAAATATTGAATCGTTTAATAAAAGCAAACCTTAACCTATTTCAGTTTGAAATCTTGAAAGTTTTCTTAAAGGTTTTTAAAAAAGCTACACAAATGATTAAAAATACTTTAGACTTTAGAAATAAGAACAATTGTTCCGCACAGTCGTCTACGAAGTCTCATTCCGTTTAGGATATTCCCGTACACTGTTGTACAGTGTAATATGTACAGAAGTGTACAGAACTAGTGTTTCAAAAATATAAACAAGAGACAATGCATACAAATAATTTTTAAAAGGTTGGAAATATTACATTCTTAAAAACCTGAAAAAATCAATTTTAAAAAAGTAAAAAATCTAACTATGTAAACTATAAAAGGTGCATTAGGTTTACGTGTTGAATTTCTTTTAATGATTTTTAGATTAGTAATTTTAGAAATTTACGTCATTTTTAGGAAAAAATAAACTTACTGACGTTATTGAAAATTTCCAAAGCCTCTATCTTTATTAAAAAAAGCTCTTCGCTCATATATATGTATATATTTATTTGTCAGCTATTGCTGGCAAAACGGCTGAACCAAATTTGCTTCCAATTTTGAGTGAACCCAGTGGTATCCCGGGGTAACAGATGCTTAAAAATCGTGTTTTTCTTAATTGGAATTCTTTTTAAAAATTTTATTTCACGGACCCCGTCGGGCGCATCAGATAGTCTTTAATATCATTACTATTATCTGACTTATCGAAACTTATTCACATAAATATTTTTTTCAGTCAAGAAAAGGCTTACTGGAGAGTTTACCGTCCTCCTCCTGGTTATAGTACACTAGTAGAGAACAGTCCAGTACCTACGAGGTATAGTACACTAGTAGAGAACAGTCCAGTACCTACAAGGTATAGTACACTAGTAGAGAACAGTCCAGTACCTACAAGGTATAGTACACTAGTAGAGAACAATCCAGTACCTACAAGGTATAGTACACTAGTAGAGAACATTCCAGTACCTACAAGGTATAGTTAACTTGTAGAGAACAGTCCAGTACCTACGAGGTATAGTACACTAGTAGAGAACAGTCCAGTACCTACGAGGTATAGTACACTAGTAGAGAACAGTCCAGTACCTACGAAGTATAGTACACTAGTAGAGAACAGTCCAGTACCTACAAGGTATAGTACACTATAGTAGAGAACAGTTCAGTACCTACGCGACGAAGTATAGTATACTAATGGAGTGCAATTCATCCATACGAGGTATAGTACAAGAGTACAGTCTATACCTACAAGGTATAGTACAAGAGTACAGTCTATACCTACGAGGTATAGTACAAGAGTACAGTCTTTACCTATAAGAGTACAGTCTATACCTACAAGAGTACAGTCTATACCTACAAGAGTACAGTCTATACCTACGAGGTATAGTACAAGAGTACAGTCTATACCTACGAGGTATAGTAAAAGAGTACAGTCTATACCTACATGAGTACAGTCTATACCTACGAGGTATAGTACAAGTGTACAGTCTATACCTACATGAGTACAGTCTATACCTACGAGGTATAGCATAAAAGAACCGTTTATACTTACGAGGTAAAAGTACACCAATTTCTTATATAATAATGATAACTATTTCTACACTTCAATCAGACAGATAATTATAAATATAATTTACATAATACTGATAATAACACGAATAATAATGATACTTTAGGAGCTGCTGGCGTTTATGAAGAAGGAGTACTGCCATGAGAACATGAGGTTCTGGTTATCTGTCCAGGAGTTGAAGCGAGGACCTGGAACCGAATCTAAAATCAAGAAGAAAGTCAAGGAGATCTGGGAGTAAGTATTTTCATAAAAACCGGGAAATATGTATCAGGATTAGGCCAAATACTCCTTTTAAACTTAAAAAGTTGAGGGCAAGAGGTTTGACAAAGTAAAGAGAGGTATTTCAATTAAATTCTTTGACTTTATCTGAGTTGGATTCAGACTGATAAAAAGCCTTCGATTCCAAGGAGTGATAAAAGAGATTACATTCATGTTTACTGAAATAAAGAGAATACATTCATGTTTACGAAAATAAAGAGGGACTTTTTTCTTCAATTAAAAAGCAACAAAGATTATATTCATTAAACAAAATTGAGTTTAAAAAAAAAAAAATTTGTTATCAAACTTGAGTTTTGGATCAAAATATTTTTGTCTTCTTTACAATCAACATTTTTCAAGTAAACGAGGTTTCTCTAAAGTTTAATACAAATATTATATTTAACATATATTGAAAGGAAATTTTGTCAAAAATACTCAATTATTATGAAACCTTTAGGAGAGAAAGCCTACAGGATTGAGGGAGGGGGGGGGAGGGGGAAGGTTTGGATATCTGACCATATATTGATTATTTACAAAACAAATATTTGTGAGATGAGTTTTCTGATGATAGATTTAGACATCGAATATTAGAAATTTATCTTCACATTCGGGGGTTTCGTTTACAACTTTTCACTTTTAAAAACACATCCGATTTTGAGTCTTCTGTCTTCCTGTCAGTTTTCACATTTTAGAGTTTTACAGATTTGATGGGAGATTATTCAAATATATTTAGTAATGTTTAATTCTTAAAAAAATAGTATAGTAAAAATAAGTTTAAAAATGAAATTGAGTCTTTGACACAAACTAAAATTTTCTAATTTCTAAATTTTTGCAACCTAATGATGAAAAGCTTAGATTTTTTAAACTTTGTTTATTTTATCCAATATAAATCATAGTTTGAAATATATAAGGGATAAGAAAATCAGAGTTTGTGGCAAAAAATCAATTCCTTTTGTTTTGCTTTTACACATAACAAGAAGTAATTAAGTACGGAAAGATTTAATTTTATTTTAAAAATTTAAAAATTTAATTCCATTTTTTCCCCCAGAGAGTTTCTGTCCCCTGGAGCAGGTGCAGAGATTAATATTGACGGGAAAACCATGGAAGAAACTAAACTAGCGATGAAATCTCCAACAAGGTAAACTCAATGAAAGGGACGAATCACGAAAATTCAACTAATCATTCATAATCAAATAGGATGGCGCTTATCAGAACATGGATATATTGTTTAACTAATCACTTTCCTAGAATGTATTTCTAATATTTTGTTCAACTAATTACTTTCCTAGACTGTATTTGTAAAATGTTTAGAGGGGAAAATAAATTACGTTTTAAATATTTTAAAAATTTTAATTTTGAGATTTTAGCGGCTTTTTTGATACCCTTGTATTTACAACCCATATGAAAAGTTACATTTAAAGTACAACATTCAAGGAAAAAAATTTGGCATACACGTAAAAAATATTAATCTAAGAATGATCGTTAAAGTAACCAAAATTTTCTTTCTAGTCGGACTTATAAAATACAGTATTAAAGCTGTACATTATTTAGGACACACGTTTAAATTACCATAATATCCTTTTTGACAATTTAAGTAAAGTCCCTTTAAAGCGATAACCAAAATATCCTTTTTAACAAAATTTAAATAACATTCCTTTAAAGAGCTTACCATAATATCCTTTTTAGCAAAATTTAAATAATATCCCTTTAAAGTGCTTATCATAATATCCTTTTTAACAAAATTTAAATAACATTTCTTTAAAGTGCTTACCATAATATCCTTTTAACAAAATTTAAATAATATCCCTTTAAAGTGCTTATCATAATATCCTTTTTAACAAAATTTAAATAACATTTCTTTAAAGTGCTTACCATAATATCCTTTTTAACAAAATTTAAATAACATCCCTTTAAAGAGCTTAACAAAATATTCTTTTAACAAAATTTAAATAACATCCCTTTAAAGAGCTTACTATAATATCCTTTTAACAAAATTTAAATAACATTCCATTTAAAGTGCTTACCATAATATACTTTTAACAAAATTTAAATAACATCCCTTTAAAGAGCTTAACAAAATATTCTTTTAACAATCTTTCATCTAGCCGTGTTTATAAAAAAGAAGATATATAACAGGACAGAGATATATTTTGTTGATCAATGTTTTGAAAATTGGACTTAATTTAATCAAAACCTAATATAGGTAGAATTACATTTTTATATCTATAATATATAAATATATTTATATGTATAAAGCGAATAATTTTTAAATATG